ATGTCGTGTAGTACTCCTACAAATTGTTGTCTACATTGCAGAGGAACTTGGCTGACTCCTCCATCTTCAGCCATGGTAGCACCTGAGTATAACACGTTACCATAACCCAGAAGACTGCAGCATGAATGCTCCTACTCTGTCATATAATTGTCTCGTGTTATTTCATTTTGTTCAATATCTTCCATAAGTGACATAATGCATAGTCTTGACAGAAGCTGATGCTTAGTTGTCGCTAATCAAGTGGCTCTTTTTATGCACTGTTACTGCATTTGCAGCATAATTTGAATTCAAGAGCAGATATTGAGGAATGTGCACTTGATAAGATCACTGAGTTTGTGATGATGATATATTAATACAATTGCTGACTTTGTGGACATTATCTGCCTCATGTTTTTATTTAAAATAGGTCGCTTGATAATGTCTAAAAGGTCAATAATTGAGTACATAATATTTTGTTGTTTATTAATAGCAATATCAATTAAATTTATGGAAAAGGAAGTATTAATTGTATTACTCTACTAGCTAAAACACAAGCACACAGACAGATCTGATATACATTTGAGCCATATTCTCAGTTATGTGCTTTGAGCATTTTCGTTCACCTCATGCGACTGATTTCAGANGTATTAATTGTATTACTCTACTAGCTAAAACACAAGCACACAGACATAGTTTTCGACAGATCTGATATACATTTTAGCCATATTCTCAGTTATGTGCTTTGAGCATTTTCGTTCACCGCATGCGACTGATTTCAGGTATAGAATTTGCTTCTCTGAAACTAACAAAACGGTAAGAAAGCAAAACAAATTAATTCGTTCGCACTGTTAAATAATATAATAGAACAAATTAAGCCAGTAATGGTAATATATAACACATATCCGTGACGTCTTATTATGAACTAACGGACATCCCAAGATTGTGTCTAAAGCTACATTCAAAACGAATTCAGAGAGAAAGTAGCTTTCTCCAAGCCCGTCTTCATAGCACCTAAGCATTACTGAGTTTCTGGGCAGTTTTCCATAGTCTAGTATTCCGAACAGAGATCAGCCCTTCCGGTAATGGATCTGTTTCCTTCTTTAGGCATAATATTAGGAGGCCCAAAATCAATTGGTCCCATTAAAAAGAACTGATCTCAACCACTGGTCCAGTGACCAAAGTTATTTCTTAATGCTTTCAGATTATGTGTACGCTAAATAAATGTGAACGTAAGTAAGTTCTACTGGGTACGTTTCTCCCCCTCCATTTTACCATAGGACGTAAACGGACGCGGCCTTCGAAACGCTGTTTTACGTCCGTATGACTACGGGCACCCGGTAACATTAAGTGTAAAGGAGCGTCCACATTACTCGTGCTCGTGCTCGCCGGGAGACCCGTCTGGCTTTTACTTGTGCTCGTAAATCTTCGTCCACACTACTTCAGTTGCTCGCCAGGCTTCGGCGCGTGAGGATCCGTATATTTACTCGTAGTGTGTATAGGCTGTAATCGTATTTTCATTTATTGGCTATAGTTTTTAAATCTAAATTTAAAATTTGCTTGTCTCGTGACTTGTCATATCGTCCACATTAGCGAGTCAGACGAGCACGAGCACGAGTAATGCGGACGCGCCTTAATGCATTGCGACTGGAATTACTTAGAACTGAATTCATGTAGCCAGATATCCAAGAAGAGTCCGTACAGTTACCTTCGTTAGGCCTGTAAATGATAAGATAATATATTGCAAATGGAACTGTTAACTATATGTGGATATAATGACGTCACCGTTGGAGCCGTGAACTGCACCGCGTAAGATTTACAAATTGGATGTGAGAAGGAGTGCAGTTCCTTTTACTTACGTTAGCAGTATAAGCTCTTCTTCAAATATTTGAACTTCGTATATAAAATCTGAATAGAAAATGAAAAAAGCATTTGCAAAATAATTTGAGACATCAGCCTGAAAGTTCTGTCAATACATACATACATATTCGAATTATGTATCACCGGTAATAAGTAAACACGCCTAAATTGAAGCCACGTTATTTTCAGGTAAAGGAATTCTATCTGCAGTCAAACTGCCCCGAATATTTCTTTGAATGCAGAATTTTCACTGAGTTCACCGTTGTTTATTTAAATTTCTGATATAAGAATCATGTTTAGAAGCTGTTTTATTGAAATATTTGCGTAAACTAGTGATTTTTTTTGTATAAATTCGATACAAGGATCACAATTATGGCAGCCAAAAAAGTCGCAGTTGGTACAATTTATTTCCGCTCTATTTATTCGTGTCCGAAACACATGAACGTAATTTTCCTACCACTGTATTACTCAACTTATAATATGAATATTCTTTTATTAATTAATATAATATAATCTTCCTACATCGTTGTTGACAAACGTTATCGTAATTTAAAGACAATCGTTGCAGAGACAGAGCCCATGTTTTCTTACAGGCAATTGACCTCGACTGTATTGCCGTAGGCATGATATCGATTGTCGCTTAGTAGACCAATTTTGATTGCGGAAACCGAACTACCACCAAATGCCTTTGGCCGTTAAAGCTACGTAGTTTCGAAAAAATCAACATTTCGCGTCTACGCCCCTAGTACGTACAATTTTATTTTCCTCAAGACGCCGCATACTTAGTTTCATTTAGGGATATGTTGCCCACAAATTTCTGAAATTTAATCGAAATTGTCGTCGCTCTTTTCGCGAAAATCGCCGTATTTCTGGGGTCCATTTTGAAGCAGGAATGTTGGTACTCATCGAACACGGCATAAGAGTACCGAATATGTACGAACCCCTTCCAACCGTTCTGACCCTAGCAACATATAGTGACGTATATATAGACACGGACAGACAGACAGACAGACAGCATATCAGAACCCAGTTTACCGAATTGAACGGGACTCGAATCTGTAAATCTGACAGAATCCCAAGTGTTCTGTTTTTTCATTATCGCGGTGATTTTTCTCACCTGGAATTAATTCATACTATTTCCACAAATTCTGGTTACTTTTCATGAATGCATTTTATGTGCTAGTAAACAGAAATTACTGATTTGTGAATTTATTAAAAATTATAAACTTTCAATTGTTGTCTTTACAAGAAACTTCTCCGTTCTTTAAGGAATAAAAATTCAAATTCAGTTTCATTTCACACGGAACCTGATGCCTAATAATTTTATTGATTTCCGCTTCCGGAGTATTGGTCATATGGTTGCGAAACTCTATACAGGCTGCGTGAAGATATATAAGGACTTACTCTTGGAGCTGAGTCCTTCTTGACCCTCCAAATCTGCAGCTATTCAAGAATTTCCTAGCATTTTATGGAACCCGAAGGTTCATTACCGTGTTCACAAGAGCCCTCCACTAGTCCCTATCCTTAGCCAGATCAATCCAATCTATATCATCCCATCCTGTCTCTCTAAGATCCATTTTATTGTTGTCTACCCACCTACGTCTTGGTATTCCCAGTGGTCTCTTTCCTTCTGGCTTTCCCACCAATATCCTATATGCATTCCTCTTCTCCCCATTCGTGTTACATGCCCTGCCCACCTCATCCTCCTTGACTTGATCATTCTAATTATACTTGGAGAAGAGCACAAGTTATGAAGCTTCTCATTGTGCATTTTTCTCCAACCTGCTGTCACTTCATCTCTCTTCGGTCCAGTATTTTCCTCAGTACCCTGCTCTCAGACACCCGCAGTCTATATTCCTCCCTTAATATCAGAGACCTTGTTTCATATCCACACAGGCAAAATTATAGTTTTGTATATTCTGCTTTTTATGTTTTTGGACAGCAGACGAGAACAGAAAAGGTTCTGGACTGAATTGTAGCAAGCATTACCCGAGTTTAATCTATATAACTGATTAAATGAAATAGTAAAAAAGGTAAGTTCAAACTTTCCCTGTGCGTAACAAATTAAGCACTAGCCATGAAGGCGTATGGGAGAGTGGGTGTGTAGATCCACATTTTCTTGACCTCGGCACCAGTTCGAGGTGAGTAGTCAGCTTCACGCCTCGGCTGCTTTACCCCCATTAACCGTTAGATAGGAGGCTGGGTGGTCTGACCGACGTGCAGAAAATTCTTGACCGTACCGGGACTCGAACTCCGGCTTTTCGGTCGTCCAGGCCGTAGCCAGTCTCTATACCGACTGCGCTATCAAGGCTCAAATGGAATCGTGAAACAAATTTAAAAATAAAAACGAAAAGGGTCCTTCTACTTTGGCTAAATTACTCGCATGTACAACAGCTAAGCCAAGTTACATTTCAGAAGACGATGGGGGTTATCGGGCAAGAAACGGGACGTCCACACATAAGAGATTTTTTTGATTAGTGACTGAGCGAAAATCGAACGAATGTGGGACCTACTGCAGGCTGAGAATATGGTACAAGACGCAAAGGGATATTAGTTGAATTTGAAACAGCATGTAAATATTACGTAAGCTATGCAAATATCATGCCTATAATCCCATGGGTTAAGAAGAGTTGCGCAGATCCAGAAGGAGACAGAAAGACGCCTTTAAAATTACTGATCATCGGAATAGGCATATAGCACCCATGCTTTGAGTAACCTGATTAAACGAGAACAATCCATGGATCTGCCTTCGGTGTCCAACCGTCTGTCTTAATCGAGTAACGTTTAAGTCACAATTTTAAAATCACGTCCACTTTTATCCTATCAAAGAATATTTGCCTCTTTCGTATATTTGCGTTTCGCAAATTGTAAATAAAAACAGTTCCAAAATTTAAGTTTTGCGGGATTTACTTTTATACGGAACCTATTATTAAATGGCATTCTTGGCCGCGCCATAGCTCAAGTGGTTAGTCGCTGGCTTCCCACCGCGGCGGCCCGGGTTCCATCCCGGGTCTGGTCAAGTGGGATTTGTGGCCGACAAAGTGGCGCTGGAGCGGATTTTCTCTGAGTATTTTGGTTTCCCCTGCCAATCTTCGTTCCAACAAATTCTCCATCATCATAATCACCCGAGGCAGGCTACAATAGGCCAATCAGTGGCCGCCGTGCCGAGTGGACCCAGTTGGAGTCCACCCCCCCCAAAAAGCGAAATTGCATTCTCCTATTTAAATTAGCAAAATGAAGTCCAGCTGCAAATGTACAATTTTCCTTGAAATATGGCACATTTTATATTGATACATAGATCAAAACAATGAGGATCCTGCACTTTTCGAAAACAAAAGCAACTGATTTCAAACATATAAATTTTTCTACAATATGGCGGGAATTGACACTCACACACACACACACACACACACAAACAACTTGTCAGTACTTTTTTGCATTTCTTTAAACTGTATCATGCTATAAAATCTTTACACCGTTAATACGGTCCTGCAGACAAGCATTCCAAACAACATTAACTTTTAATGCGTCTCCACGGCGCCCAAGAACTTGCATCACAGTTTTGTATATAAAATTCTATGTATATAACCAACCTGCATCTGTCCGTTTTCATGCACAGGACGCTTAAATATTAAATCACAGGGTACAAAATTTTCCTTCTCAACAGATATCTTCTTCGTCCATTGAATATTAACATTAATCACTTCAAATACACGAATCCCACAGAAGAAATCCTCTGACGATAATTTAACAAACAACATTTCTGCAAATAAGCACGCCCTATTCTTAACCTGACAATGGATCTTTGTATTCAGACTGAAGATGCTCAATGCTACTGACTCCATTTCATGCTTATTTCTTTGAAGCCTGAAATTCGTCTGAATAATATTTAGAAATTCAATCCTCGCTCGCTTTTTCCTCTAATAAGAACACTTTAAACCCATAAATACACACTACACTACTTAATACTGAAACAGGCGGCAAAATATCTTTTCTGAAGGTTTAAGTCATTCCTAAATTTATGCTTATATTTTGTATATATGTAACATTTTAAAACAAATTCTGATTTCAGCAGTCATTTAACAAATCACAAATTCGAGCTCTTGAGAACTGGGTGGCGTAAACTAACATTGAAACTATAAATAAAGGAGAATATGGCATCTTGTGACTCGAACCCCAATCAAGGATATAAAATTGTGCTCCGATTTTGTGGTGCGGAATATACGGAGGGATTTCCTCTGTGGAAGACGCCCATTTTCATGTGACAGTCAATACAAGCCCAGAAGGTCCAGTATGGAATGTGGAAACGGGAGCTGTTGGGGAGGGGGGCTAGAAAGCTGCCGAGGCAAGCCTGAGGGCTACGCCCTGTCAGGTCAGAAGATAACCGTTAATGGTCGCCTGAACTCGCCGCCGCCTGGTGTGGCTGCCTGGTGATAATGCCCGCTCGCGTACTGGGACATCTGGGTCATCGGGATGAGCCCCGGCATCGGGGGGCCTTGTTGGTGGACCACAGGTGCTGTACCTGGGTAATAATTTGGCAGGCCTCCGGGCGACGCTGCCGCTGAAGAAGTAGACGTCGAGGAAGCCGATGAAGACGCACCAACTTCCTGACGTTCGCTTGACGAGATCCCACTGCTGTTGCCAGTGTTGTTGCTTTTGATGACGACGTCGGGGGAGTCTGTTGGAGTCCTTGACGGCTGTGGAGCTGAGGACGCCGTGTCCGCATACATCTTACTGATGTCTAGTGAAGGGTACGCCCCGGCTGTGCTGCCTCGTTGGGAAGCCTCTGAAGGGTCATAAGCCCCCCTACTTGCAGCTGCAGCAGCAGCCGCTGCCCCGGATTCCATGTACATTTTGGAGGACTCGAAATAAGCTTTAGTCAGGGCTGAAGTTGGATCCAGATAGCCTCGCTCCATGTAGCTCTTAGCGGTGGAGTCCATGTATTTGGGGTCAGCTGAGTACATCGACATGGCGAGGGTCGAAGGTGGCATGCTGTACGCTGACCGATATTTGTCTGCCTCCATAGAGTACTTCATGGCGTCCATGGAACTCACCACCTGCAATACAATGAATGTCATTCGTGAAATAATAAGCACTTATCAATATTGTGGCATTTAGACCCGTTACTAGGGCACGACCGTGAAATAAGGAACTATACAACACTCGTGCCTAAGTAACGGTTCTGGAAATAAGCGTGTTTCCATGGTAACACAGTAATAACGTAAGTGGTGTTTCCTACCCGGTCCGTTCAGTGCTTTAGATAACTGCTGGAATTTAGTTTATGTCAGATTTTGCTATGAGAAGCTAGTAACTGAGGTCTGAGACAGTTCGGGAACCCAGAGGAAGGGGAATGTCCTCAGTTCGAAGCCGCTACCAAGCAACGACTAGTGAAGACTCTGACCGATTGAGAATATTTGGTGTTTCCTATAGTGATTTGCGAAGCGTGTAGAATGGTGTGAGCTCAATCCTTACTTGTAGTTACGAGTTGTAGGACTTTAATAAATCCGATTAGGGTCTAAACTGCGTCTATGGACACTGTCACGTGACAGTATGATCTTCTTGAAGGCATAGACCGTAATCTGTCAGTACGAGTATCCTGGCAGGGACTCGAACTGGGTACAAAGTCTCAGTCAAACCATAGATATAGTATGTAGGCGATGTTTGTGTTGTCCTGTGTAGGTAGGGACCTTACGACGGGCTGATCTGTCCTCCAAGGAGTTCTGTCAACTGTCAGAAAATTCTGAAGTGGAAGAGGCCTAGCGGGCCCAATGAATGGATGGGAGGACAAGGAGAACAGACTTTGGATAAATGACACACTAATTACATTATGAATTAATTATATACGTTAAAATTTCCTATACAATTTCAAATAATGCATCCTTACACTTCTAGCTGCTGGAGAATGCCTCGTAATATTGAAGATATACTGCTTAAGAATGGAACCATAACAAATTTTTCATTTTTTATTAGAATATTTTATCGCTGAAGTAAGAAATAAAAAGACATGAACATACCTGAGAGTGGTTCTGAGCATCTAATTAGTGATTGTAAGTTGTTGCTCGCCATAAACGTCAAATATTTTATACAAATATTAAGACATCTAATTCATATTTCTCTCTGGTGCTTTGTTAACCTTTTAGACTCTTTAGAATATATTAAATAAATTTTACTTAACCGTTCATGGAAAATTAAGGAAGGAACAGTTTATTTCTTTTGTTCCCGAATTACGTTTAATCCTAATTTTGTGCACTCTGCTAGCTTCATTTCGTAAGCAATAGGGAAATATTAGGGACTCCATTATAGTTATTGTGAGTTCACATAGGTGAAAATACTGAATATATAAGTAATGCATAAAATGCATATTTGCTTATTTTATTTTACAATTTCCTGATAATACCATCGCGAATTTCTGTAGAAATTTCAACACTTAATTTTTGCGCTTATCAACTTTATTATTGAATTCGGAGCGTAAGTCTTTGAGAATATTTCTGCGCGCGTGCAATAGGTAGGGTAAGGTTGCTATCGATGGGCCGGCTCCTTCGATGGGCCACCTCCATTATTTTGTAGTTATTGACAGTAGGCTCTAACTTGTGACTGTTTAGTGTACTACACGAAGCTTGAAAATCGCCATCTTGACTGTGAGTTGATCCACGCACAGACAAGGTTCCTATACAAGAAGGTAAGATTTTTGTACTTTTCTTC